ATTTTCTAACCTTCAACTAATAACCAAATTAATTTAATCTCAAATTAAACTTTTGCCTAGAAAAACCTCTCCCATATAAGCCCGAAACTTATAAACTCTGAGCCAAAATCGTTTCATGAAGAAATTGAAAAAGAAGAATGAAAAAACTAGATTTTTATCTCAAAATCCTTGCTGCTGCTGCTGCTGCTGCTTCCCCTCTCCTTTCTTTCAGCCACTCCAGCACTTGGTTCTTTGTTTGACGCCTTCTCACTGTCCATGGGATGAGGGAAATGGTAATGAAGTGTATTGCTTAAATGTGAATACATATATAAGTAATATAATTATATAATATTTTAATAAATCTTCATCACGGCCATCAGATTCCAACATCAGCCGTTGCAATGCATTTGAAGTAGAAAAACACTATTTTTGGCAGCACAATAGTTTTAGCTATAATAAAATAAAATTGATTGTATGAATAGGAAAATTAAATGAAATTTAAAAAAAAAATTTAATTATTAAAGCAACACACCACACACTATATAACCTAATGCGCGCACGCACACACACACTATATATATATATAGTAATCTCTCTAATATGGCTCTACCACTTCATTCGAATGATCAATCTTCGGATGAGGAATAACAGGTTTACACATCTAGGAGGAAGTAAAATTAAGACCTACTTGAGCTCAGTAATCTAATGGATGATACTTTGGTTACTTCGGGTAATGGTATACATCTCACCAATTTGTTAGCTGGCTCCCTTCCGAGAACCAGAGACAGAGACAAGACTAGATTAGGGCGTCCCTAATTATATGTATCTTTTCTATTTTTGGAATTTTGTGTGCGTGGTACCGTATGAGTTGGGTGCCTTCTTTTGGGCCCACTCATACAACATGTTGTATCTTTTTCTTTTAATATATTATCCCTTGGGCTTTTTTTTTTCTACCCAAAAAAAAATATTCTGCAAAAATAGAAATTTAATTATTGAAAGAGAGGATACAAAGGTTTTAGTGAGCGGGTCCTAGGAGCCCACCCACAAGGCATACATGACTTGAAAAAGGCAAAATGTACAAGATACCCCAAAAAAGCAACCTAGACAAATTTCCCAAAAGCAAAGCAAAACTATCAATCATGAAGGGAGGATTTGCCTCCCCCTCCCCCTGCCCCTGGTTATAGGAATGGAGTCCAACAACAAACGATGAATGGGGTTTCCACTCGAGACAATCAAACAATCATCCTGTAGATTTTGGAGTTGTGGCATTCCTTTTTTCGTCTTCTTGGATTTATAAACTTGTCATTCATCTTTCATTTGTTGATCCAGCTGATCGATTTCAGTGGAGAGCTCACGTTGATCTTGTTATTCCTCCAATGCATGAGTACCTTCCCCCAACAACAATAAGTGGTGCCAACTCATTCTGGAGAACTTCCAATACAACTAAATGAGAGGGATTAGGGGTCTCAATAGGCTTGCATAAATGTTGGTTCTCTTCAGGTTCACTCGGAGCAAGATCAGACTATGTAGGAATGCTTCCATTGTGAGGAATGGGGACAACAAACAACTCTATCTGTTTGGTTAACATCTGTACCAACAAGTTCCAGTAAAGTTGCAGGATCTAAAGTTGCCTCTTTGGTATTACTGGTAGAATTCACATGTTGAGGAATCAAGAGTTCCTTTGCGTTTTGTTCTAAAATTGCACTGTCGGAAATACCATGTTTAGGAATAGATGGTTCCTTTGCATATTTTTCATCCATAGGATTATCTATGTCCAATTATATTGGAATATTAGGTTTCAACTTTGGGTGTAATATCAAGCATTTATCATGTGTGTGGCCAAACATCTTACAATGATTGCAGTAGTATATATATATATTAGAAAGTTCTAACTTCTGATGGATGATATAGTATCTTACAATGATGGAAATGTCTAACTTCTGATGGATGATACTTTGGTTACTTCGGGTAATGGTACGCACCTTACCAATTTGTTAGAGGTAGAGGAATAACTAAAGTGGGATTACTCTAATTACATTGTGAGCCAAATGTTTAATTACTTAAACATTGATTTAATTACCTCAATCTTTTGTTTGTTTACTTATTATTTGCTGCATTGTGTTTTATTTAGCTTTAAAATATATCATATATGATTTTTTAGGTGATTGAAAATCATAAATATGCTGATTGAAAATCATAAATATGCCCAAAGGCTATATCATCATATTCAATAGATACCAAATTGAACTTAACATTTTCGCTATTGAAATATATCTATGACTATTTTGCTTTCATAAGTGATCCGCTTACCCCATTCTGAACCCTTTTACCGTATGCGGGTTTCATAAATATATTATTGCCGACCTATCTCCCCCATGATATCACATTTCTTAAGCTAAATATATCTTCATCACTGAACATTTACATAAACATGTGAATCATTTTTAAATATGTTGAACAACTATACATACAAATGAAAAATTTATATATACTAATGCTTTTATTTAATAGTCTTACCAACTAATGAAACATTTTTATAATCAAAATATACTTTATGACATTTGCTCGTTTGTTAATGCAATTAGGGTGAAAATGGTTTTGGTCCTCAACCCAGTTTCTCCTGTTTAATAAGGACACGTGATATTCTTCTTTTTTTAGAAGCTTGTTTATTGGCCACCCTTTGTCTTTGCTGGCGTATTTTAGTTTTTCTTTGTTCTTTTTTAAATTGCATTGTTATGAAACTGCCTTGTGCTGTACTATTCTTGTTGATGGATAATAATATCTGTTTTGCTAAATAAAAAAGTGGGTATATGTATTTATTCTGACAAATTAGAAGACTTATCTGGTATGATGAATGGTCAGACTAAGTCCCATTTATGTTTCAAGCACCCATGCTTTAATCATTAATGTACTTAACTTTTTGTAAACTTTAGGATGGTTTTTATGTGAAAGTTTCTCATTGATTGATAAGCTTGATAGTTTATTAATGTTAATAACCTGTAGGAATATTTTCTATTTTGTGCTCTATTTTTGTGGTACCGAGATATAGAAATTGTATAGTTTTTATGCATCAAATGTTATTTAGCTTTGGAGGATCTATAGTTGTTGTGATGAGTTTGGTTGCTTATGACTAGATAAAGGAATTACGGGAGCCCTACTTTATAAAATAGGTTCTAGGGGTAACACTTTCCTTTTATGGTGTAATAATTTTACAGTGAACGAGTTAGTGCTTTGGCAGCACCTGGCAATATTTGACCGTCTTTCTTATCTACTAAAGTAAATTGACTATGTGCTCTTACCCTTTAGTTTTCTGGTGAGCTTGTAATTTGGCTTTATGTAATTACTTTATCTTATTTTGGTGCCTCGCACATGGCATTATATAATTATAGGGCTTATGTATTTATTATGATTTATAAGTAGGTTTATTCTATCTATATTAGATTAAGGATAATTAAAATGTCATTTTCTTAACCGTTCAATCAAAACTTCTCTTGTAAAAAATTATGCAACCATATCTCTTTACTCTTTTCTTCACATTCTCACCCCCCCCTCTTCCTATTTCTCTTCCAGTCCTTTTTTTTTGTGTTCTCTGTGCCTAAAATAAGAAGGGTAGAAAGGTGGTTGTGCAATTTCATCTGGAATAATTGTGTAATGACGTTAACTCTTTAGCTAATAAAATCCAAAAAAAAAAAATTGTACTTTGTTTTTTGTTATGATAAATATGAATGATCATGATCTTCATTATAATCATAGAGATCTTCTTTATTATTTTAGATTGGCTTTTCGATTCTTCAATTATCATGTATTCATACTAAGTGCTGCAGTAGTAACTGTGGAAACATGAAATTAATAAGATAACATTTTTTTTTTAATAATCTCGTAGGAAATTTTATTTCATAAAAAAATTATTACAAGGAGTTGGCCAACAGTTCTACTAATCCCCCACAACACTACAACTCATAAGAAAAGAAAAATCTAAGAACCGTTAGCCACAATACAACTCACTCAACAAAAAGCAACATAAAATCAATTATTAACTCGGATAAAGGGAATATTTAAACTATCCTCCTTAAGCGACTGAGAAAGCTCCAACGGTATCTTATCTGAAAAATTTAAACATTGGGACTCCAAGCCTTTTCTCGCAGCCCAATCAACACATTGATTACCTTCACGCTTGATAAAAAAAACCACTGTACCTGCACCATATTCACAAGAGCAAAAATTCTTTTCAACTGAATAATAAGAATCCATGGGTAAACTCTTCTTTTGCAAGAGTAATTCCACAGCTCAAAAGAATCCATTTCAATAATGATTTTATACAAGCCACAACTAACCGCAATTTCCAGCGCAACTATTACATCTTCTGCCTTTGCAATAACAAGAGTGGAAGCTAAAACTGGAGCGAGAACCGGAATAAACAATTACCAGAGAAATTCTTGCACACGCCGCCAATTCCATCAGCCAACTTAATCCAACTGCCATCAGCATTAAACTTCAGAATACCCCTATCAGGTGTTTTCCATAAAATCAAACTAATCACAGGTTTTTTCCTCACAGAAAAAGTAATATTGAATTTATGAAAAAACTTCAGCACATCCAAATTGACAGAAATCTTAAATCTGCCAAACTTCAGCATCTTAAACACAACTTTTTGTGTAGTTAGAACATGAAAATTTTGAAATTATATGGTCGGCATGTTTGCTTTCATTCCTGGTAGTCCATAAAATCCCAATGACCACAATAGAATAATAATAAGACCACAATAATACATTGGATAAGACCTGATTTGATCTCGTTATACTCAATTCAAAAGCTTCTCATTTGACATTATTGCAATGGATTAAGCTATCCTATTCTCTGTGTAACAAGATCTGTTTAGATTCTTTTTCACATTTGTCAACTTTTTTTTTTGTTTTCCCGCATTGGCTGTTAATGTAAAATATATGGTTTCTATCTTAATTGCATTATCAACTTGTTGAGCTTGTTTTTGTTCCTTTTTTGTATTCTTGACTTTTAAACAGCTTTATCACATTGGTGCATCAATAATCGGAAGAAAGCTCGGCATATTGTTGAGATCTGGGAGAAATTGTTCAATAGTTCTCCTAAAGAACAAAAGGTTCCCTTTTTGTATCTTGCAAATGATATTCTTCAGAATAGTAGGCGCAAGGGAAGTGAGTTTGTTAATGAGTTCTGGAAGTTGCTTCCTGGTTCTTTAAAAGGTGCATATGAAAATGGCGAGGAAAACATAAAGAATTCCGTGATGAGATTAGTGAGTTATGACATTCTTTTGTTTAATTTCAATACACTTAACAAGCGTAGCGACCTTGTGGATCACCTTTGTGCATATTTGTCACTTCTAGTTTGATGTTTCCCCTTCAGATGCTTGTAATGTTGCAATCTAATGATCTTTTTGATTATTTGTGCTACACATCTAAGCATAGTATGCATCTGCTTGACAAACACAAGCACACATGTTTACATGTATGCCTTAGTTTCCCTCTCTTCAGTTTCTGTATATTTTCCTATTTAAAATGTTTTATTTATTTGAATACATTTCTTTCGTTGCTAGTAGGTATGAGAAAGTTTTTATTTTTACTTTTCCCAGCTACATCTCTCAGTTTGCTTTTTAATTTTACCATCGGGTAATTAATAATGTATTTTGTTTACATATTTACACATTATACAAGTACTGTGTTATTTGCATGACTCTCATTTAGTACCGCCGTTAATTATATCAATAATTTTTTGAAGGAGTATTGTGCTGGTTTCTCGAACTGTGGATGCTATGAATAGCACAGTTGAGATAACATTTTTCGTTGGGGTAGATGATCAAACAATCTTTATGTTTTATACAGCATGCAACACTGATTAATGATCCTTATGAACATTTGGGAAGTATTTTGCTACAAAAGCCTCATGCTTCAACGATTCTGCCAGAAGTTCTGAGAAGTGGTTTAAACTTATGAACTTGAATCAACTTGGATGGAGATATGCGCTTCATATGGTTTTTACTTATGACATCCTACAGTGCCTAGGAATTGACTCTCATTATAAATCCATTGGTCTTGAAACATCATTCTTAACATTTTTTCTGAGATTGTGGTTTTGTACCTATTTGATTTTTTGGTTTGATTTTTTAGTTTTCAGTTCATATAACTATAGTTTATGTTATGCATCCTATTAGAATGGTCTTCTTCTGATTGGCTTTGATTTAGTGAACTTGTTTTTGTCTTCCAAAAGATTTGGTTGTTTAATTTTAAATATGCGCATCATTTAATTTTACTAAGATATTTTTTTCCCTGACTGATTTCTGGAGGGGCATGTTTGACCTACACTAGTACGCTAAACGCCAAGTTGATGCGGGTCACTCTTTTTTTGAAATAATTTTTGATGGGCAAGTTGTCAATATTTGGGATTATTTATAGGACCGAGATGTCTTCCATGACCAGAACAACATATAGTTGGCAGCTCATTTGGTTTATTGACCAATATAATAATGCTGTTTTTTTAGTCGAGACTTAATCTCTTTGACTTTACCTCCTAGCTTGACGATTTGAACACTAACATTATTGCTATTCGAGTGTAGTAAACTACTTGGATGACCACCTACCTTAATGAAGAGCCAGTTTGTTCACTATCTCCTTCAATGGCCACTACTTTGTGATTGTGCATGCGTGTAGGGTGTGGGGGATGGGGGCTTTACTTTATTTGAATTTATGCTTACACTAATGCATACTTAGAGTGCCCGTGCCCGGTGCTTGCATCACCATTGTACTACTTTTTGTTCTTTCTCGTCCGTTAACCATTAGAGCCTCTCCCCCTCGTTTTCCCTCCTCTTGTTTAAAGTAGCACATTATGGCTTATTATGGTTGTCCTATATTACTTGCATGAATGAAAACAGTGCCGTGCACTTCTATTACTGTAGCTCTTTTATACTATTCCATCCTTTCATAATCATTAATCAACCAAGTTTTTCCTCCCCATTTTCCTTATTTTTTTTATTCTTAACCTCAAAGCCCCTTATGTATATTTCTTTCCTTTTCCTTTTTCCCACATGAAGCTAGTATCACCATTGACCCCTTTTTTTGGTCTCCACTTCACATTAATATATTTATTTGCTGTTATCATTTTAACTTAAACCGTGCTCTTTTAATGAACTCCCATCCACAATTACAACTTCCTTTTCAGTATGAGTGATTGTATTATCATTGTTTGTTTCGATACTCATTTAGAATTGCCAAATCTTTCCCCTTATTACCTTTCGTAGTATTGAAATCAAAGAGATGAAGGGTAGGAGGAAGGGGAGAGAAAGAGATTGTGTTTCTTTGAAGATCAACATTTGAAGTCAAATCTTTTGCATCTCTATTCTTAGATTTGTTGGAGGGCCTTTACACAATGTTTCTTTATGATTGGCCATCCGATTAGATCATTTATGATCTTCATAGTATTGTGGATGACACAGGTGCTCCTGCATCTTGGCGGGATGTGGGTATTGGGGGGCTGCTAGACGGGTGGCCTCGCTAGCAGTGTGAACCGATTCAGCCAAAGAATATGAAGGCTGCCCTACCTCCTTGGACCAGGAATTACAGCCCAATAAGAGTGCCCCACCCCTCCCCCACAAGTTACCCTAAGGCTATTTATGTTGTTTTTGTCATGTTTGAAGCAGTTTTTCTGTGTGTTTTCTGTTGGGACAGCAAGTGGCGTCTCCAGTTTTCTCGTCTAGGGATGTATCCAAGGGTCAAGTAGTTTTGCGGCTGTATTATACTCTCGAGATGATGATTATCCCTCTCTCCAGCCTTCCCACAACGCTTCTCGTTATTCCTCATTGCCGTTTCCTACCGCAGCTGCCTCAAACAACTACCTTTGCCCACTGTTTTCCGGCAATTCCAATTCGCTGCCACTTTCCAAAACCAATCTTCCACCCTGCTGCTGTCTTCCAACCTTACATTTCGCTTGCAACCCAGCTGCCATCCTACCCATCTTCTTCCTTCAATCCAACTGCTAGCCATCCTGCCTTCCTCCTGCAAGTCCAGGCTTGCCTCCACTGCCCCCAACCAGACCTGCCTTGTCGCAACCTCCTTCCTCCTCACTGCTACTATCTAGGGAAGAGCAAATATGCTGTTCATTACTGTGCCTGCCCCTTACCGGCTCTTTCCCTTGATTTTCAGCCACCTGCTGTCCCTCCCTTCCACGTAGCCAATCTCCACCACCTCCTGGATCGAACTCCAGTTAAGTTTGTGTCGTTTCTATTGTTACTTCCCAATTCAATTTATTTGGTAGTAACCTTCTATTTATTATCCATAATAATATTTGTTTTTCTTATTGGTTGGTTAACTCATGTATCATTTGGTATTAGAGCTAACATAACCTTAGTCTTATCCTAGGTTATCTAAATCCACCAATACCAAACCCAATTTCCACCCAATTTGTTGATTTTTGCACATTAGCCCCCAAAAATTTTTTATCCCACCCTAGACCACTCCCATATAACCCTTTCACCCCACAAACTTAAACCCTAGTCATGGCATCGAGAAGAAAAGTACCACAAGCCTAGCAAGAGCTTACAATGGAAGAGGTGTAGAAGGAATTCTGCCGACTTCCACATAGGCTTGCCAAAATTGAGGAGATGACCCAGGGACAGGTTAATGTCGATCGTGATAGCGAGTTTCGAAGAGGAGAGAGGGAGGAACACCTGAATCTCTTATGTATGGATGATTCCAGTGAAGAGAAATGTAGGCCATGATACTTCGAGATTCAATATTCAAGACAACCACCTCCATTCAGACAACTACTCACAACTGTAGACACTAGTTGGAGCACACCTAAAGTGGTTGAGATTATTGCTAAGGAGATTGACAGAGCAGATTAGAGCGGGAAGAAGTCTGAGAAGAGTAGCATGCCCGATACAGTTCCAACTGGAAGTGTCTTAGGTGCCATGGATATGGAGACATCACCTTCAGTTGCCCTATGAGCAATGTTGTTTCATTCGTCGAGCTGTGTGCAGTGGACGTGAGCGGGGAGGAGGTAGCTGCTGAGCAGGGCGAGGAGTACCAACTTTCAGCAGATGAGGGTGAGATGCTTGTGGTTTGACTGGTCTTTCAGACTGAGGCTATAGGGGAGCAATAGTGGCTTCGCCATAATATATTCTACACCCATTGCATCTTGAATAGAAGTTATGCAGCCTCATCATTGATGGAGGTAAATGTAAGAATGTGGTTCACAGGTCGGGCCTCATGATTCAGACATTTTCAACCGTATTCTCTGACGTGGCTTAAGAAGAATATGGTAAGCATTGATAGGAGATGCCCCGTCTAATGGAAACCAGCTGTATGATCAGTTGTGATGTGACGTGTGCCCATGGATACCTGTCACATTCTGCGGGGGAGACCGTGATAGTGTGATCGTTGGACTTGACATAAGGGATTCAAGAATAAATACTCTATCACAAAGGATGGAAAGCGCCTAGTTCTCCTACCTTTGAAGGATTCCGAGGTTACAAATGCTCTTGCCAGTAGAGAAGCACTAGTGGGATTGTCTTAAGTGATGATAGAAGATAGCAACACAGAAGAGCCAATTTCAGACACAGAACAACCACCACAAAAAGAGTTCTTAGGATATCTTAGCTGAAAGCTTGCCACCAGAGCTACCGCCATTAGAGGAGGTTCAGTCTATCTTCACTTTAGAGAGAGTTGAGCAAACCTTGGGCTACCTTTCTAGGACTCTGCAGAGTACACTTAGCACGCAATTCAGTTCAACCATATACCCACCGATGGTTGGATCAATATGGATGACTACTCGTAAGTGAGAAAACCTTCTCATGCGTTTTGGGGTACAGTGCCACCGATAGTGGAATCTAGGTGCTCCTAGAGACGCAATCGAAGACCCTCCAACTCTGGGAGGCTAGAGTAGCTTCGCTACCTCAATGCGGATGATCTGATTCCACATTATGAGGAGACGTAAGCTTCTCCAAATGAAGTCGAAGTTTCCTAAACCCCAGAAGGCTGATGCGTGCGTTTCTTGTGTCTGGGCAGGATGCGGGTATTGGGGGTCTTATGAACTGGTGGCCTCCCTAGCAGCGTGAACCGATACTACTAGAGGATATGAGGGCCAACCGACCTCCTTTGATTGGGATTTGTCGCCCTATAAGAGTGGGTTCCCCTTAGTTACCCTAGGTCTATTTATGTTGTTTTTTTCATGTTTAGGGCAGTTTTTTTTCGCTTGTTTTTTGTCGGGATGGTTGACTTCCACTACCCCCTGGATCAAACCCCA